TGTGAGTGGCCAAATGACCACTCCAAAATTGTTATCTTTGGCTTCAAGTAAGGAATAATGAACACAAATTAACAGCCATAAATAAGTTCTGAGTTTTCCCAACGTGAAGGTAAGTGAGTAATCTATATTTGCATGTGTCATTCTACCTTCCAGCACACGCACTTCAAGCTCCGTTCTGATGAACCTAATGATGAGTGATGAAAACAACAGAGACATCTACATCACTATTGCTTCCATGCCACCTCCGAAGCCTTGCTCTTTCTGCTGTCCAGTTCCTTCTGCCACTACCATACGCACCGGTAAACACACCCTGGATGGACTACGCAACTGTTCCCCCTGCCTCCGTCTCACTCGTCTGACTTCATCTTTTTTTTTCCGCCACAGGGAGTGGGCAGTGTCTCGAGCACGGCTATGTACTCAACAGCAGGTACCAGGTGGTGTACCCGTTCCCCACTTTCCAGCCAGCCTTCCAACTGAAGAAGGATCAGGTCATCCTATTGAACACTAGCTACTCTCTGGTGGCCTGCGGCATCTCACTCTGCCCAGGTAACAGACACAAATAAACATTTCCTACGCCGTGCATTAAACCGACATTTACAATTTCCGACGCGCTCTCATTCGGATGGTGGGAGTGTGCTCACTATGGGGTACACTTGATTTTGTGCCCATCGGGGGGAATTCCGCCGTTCGTAGAGAGCAGTAGAAAAAAAACATTGACTTTGTTTAGTAGTAGTCTCTTTATGACTTAAATAAGTACATGAAAACATTGTTCTGACATTCTATTCTGTTGAACATGACAAATTGTGCTTGATTTTCATTATTTTTCCACGCTTGTAAGTTTTTTCAGTCTGATATTGTGTAGCCAGATTTCAGCATTTGTTTGTACGTCTCTTACAGGTAAACAGGGTCAGTCATCGCAGATCCTTTACACAAAGAAAGCAGCTCTGTCAAGTCAAGCGTCCCCATCTTTTTCCTCCAACTCCTCTGCTTCATCTTCCTCGTTACCTCTGGGATCTCCCGAAAGCCAGCAGGCATCAAGCAAACCTGCTCCTATTCCCTCGTCTCCAAGCCAGTCACAAGCAGCAGTGCGAGCCCGGGAGTTTGCAGCTGACATCTTCAGACGTGCACAGGGAGGAGGAGGCAAGGAAGAGGGCGGCCAGGCAGAAAGGAGACCAGTTGGTAGTGAAAAAGAGATGGCGCCAACACCAGGAGACAAAGGGATGAATGTAGAGAGGAGGAAAGGGGGGGAGGAGGAATGTAGAGAGAGGAGGGATGAGGAGAGACGGACTAGTTTACCACAGGCTTCAACATCAGCTGGGAGCCCCAGTTTGCCCCAGTGCTCTGAACAAGTGATGTCTCCTGCCTCCTCCTCCTCCTGCCCATCGTCCCCTCAGACCCCATCCTCATCCCACGAACCCGGCCCCAGCGAGCCTGGATATGTCAACTATTCATGTCTGCACTATCGACTTCAACGGCCAGGGGCAACCGAGCAGAGCGCTGCCAGTGAAGGAGGTAAGGGAACGAGGGGAGGACGCACTGAATAAGGGGAGAAATAACCCTCCAGTTGGAAGCTGCTGAGCGGCATTCTCCTCCGTTTGTCTCCCCAGGTTATGAGGACGATAAAGTTCAGCTACCTTTCACAGTCACTGACCTTAAAGGACAAAGCCTGCAGCTGGTCACTGGGCCACACGATGGACAGGTGCGTGTGGACGTCTGTACATCTGTGGCTGTGGATTTAGACACATTGGCGTATTTGTCAGGTTTCCTCACTCTTTCCGCAGTTACTGAAATCAATAGTCATTCATTTCAGAGCACTGCATTAGTGTTAAAGACACTCGTTGTCCACAATCACAATGTTTGAGTCATTATTCGAAGCAGGAAACAACTATTTATTTAAAGCTACGGTGGGGTGACGTCTATCAAAGTCGTCTAACAAAGGTGTAAATACTGAGGTGTTCTGTGTTAAAACTTAATGCTAAACCTTTTTAAAGTTAAATTGATTTGAACCGGTGTGTTACTCTTGCAGAGTGTGCGTGTGGAGCAGCTGACTCTGGACTTTGAGTATCTTATCAATGAGGTGATCAGGAGCGATGCTGCATGGGCCCCTCAGTTCTGCTCCTTCAGCGACTATGATGTAGTGATATTGGAGGTCAGTACACCCACGCACAAAAAACAATACTGTGCACTCACACTCAGTATGGTTTTATAACTTAAAACCATACGGAAACTACAGTTTTCCTCCAGTATGAATGGGATTGCAATGCAGTCTTTGCGTTCACACTATTTTACAGAAATGTACACAAACTATTAAGACTGGACTCAAAATCTTAGCTTGATATATTTGAAAAAAGACAAGACAATAGTAGCCGAGAATGAGACCCATGCCTAATGAACCTTGTTTTGATCTAACAAAACACGGGATGATATTAACGTGTGTGTGTATAAGGTGTGTCCTGAAACCAACACCGTGATGATCAACATTGGTCTGCTTTTGCTGGCCTTCCCCAACTCGGAGGAGGAGCACTGCAGGTACTCGTCCTAAATAAACCCGAATTCTTTTCCAGCTCTATTTTTTTCCTGGAGTTTATGCGCATTTTGCTGCTGTATTTCACAGGCCAAACACGTATCACTCCAACCTGCAGGTCAGCTGGAACCTTAACACAGGCGTATGTTGCACCGTGGGGGTAGGGGACCTTACAGAGGTCAAAGGTCAGACCAGGTGAGGAGCTGCTGACACACACACACCTTTCTGTTTGTTATGCTCCCTTTATTTTCCCTGTGTTAAACAGTCTTCATCTCTTGTCAGCGGGAGTGTGTGGAGTTCCTACAGGAAGTCCTGTGTGAACACAGTGATGAAGTGGTTGGTGCCTGAGAGCACCTCCCGCTACATTAATCGCATGACCAACGAAGCCCTACACAAAGGTGAGTTCTATGCACATACACATCTATGTCCCTTTAATGCAGACAGACTACTGGATCAAAATGTTGTCGCGTTCTTCCCGTCAATTTTAATGTGAGTTTAGGGTGCAACAATAGAGACGTCTTCTCTCTGCTTGCTGAAAGAATAACTGGGTTTGTGGTCAGACCTTCGGTTGCCTGTTTCAAAGACAAACGTTTGAGCACCTGTTGAAACTTTCATCAGTCTTACAAACAGTTTTTTTGATTTGCGTGTGTAGATAAGTATTAATTTGAATTGCATCACTTATCTTCTCACCCGTAGGCTCGTCCCTGCAAGTGCTGGCTGATAGTGACCGATGCACCTGGATTGTATTATGAAGAGAGAAGACGCGTCAGAGCCACCGATACAAAAGGCGCACACACAGATGCACTTCGACATGGCCTCACCGTCCGTATGCAGCTCCGCCACGCGGTTAGCAAGTGGGCTTAATATGCAGCTCAAACACGTGTCAAATTGAAACCAAACAATGTGTGTAGTGCATTATTGCGACCACCAAAGGAAAAAGTGCTGGGAGTTGGCAAACAAAGCATTTTGTTTTTAACTATTTTTGGTTTCATACATAAAGCTGTTCTGTTATTGTAGTGTTTCTTTTCTGTGCGTCTCAAAGTGAACGTATGCAATATCTATTTGCACATCTGTGATGTTCACCAAGGGGACTTCATTCAGACAATTAGTGTGTGTGTGTATGCGGGTATGCATGTGTAATGTGTACGTAAAACAGATTCCACTGCTTCTGAAGTTGTTTTTCCCGCCTGGCTTGGATCCGTTCAGTCCGGCAGTGTTGGGTCAAGACTACAGTATTTAAAATGAGGGAAACTGAATCCAGTACCGCTCACTTGACTCTTTAAGATCCCTTTTTTTAAAACCTGTCATGAAAGTGAAGGGGGGCTTTTTGGTGTTTACTGGCATCAACACAGGACTCTGCTATATTGGGATATTTTGTGAAAATAAAACTTTCAAAATGCCTTTTTTGAGTCTGTTGAATGATTGTGATAACGGTCTGTGATTGAATCCCTATAAATTCATGTGCATGCTGGAAAGTCTAGTTTTTGCTTTATTTTTCATGAATTACTGGATTATTTGATCTAGGCTACTCAAATGTATGAAGAAAATGTATCCTATTTTTATTTTTCTTGGAGTGGTTTTCTAAAGTTTGAAACCTCCATGTAAACTGCAACGCCGGAGACTTTATGTTGTGTTAACACCTCTAAACCAGCTAAAACATATTTACATTTAAATTATTTTTAAAGAAACATTTCAATAGAAAAAATTATATAGGAACGAAGTCTAGAGCCAGCCATTGCATCCTTTTAGTTAGTGAGGATTAAAGCTGCGACCGTTGATCACAAGTTAAAGTACAAACGTCTTCTGAATCATATCGAGAGGGTTTAGGTTTTGAACATAGTTTTATCATAGCAACATAGCACTTTATTTTATAGTCTGCCTGTACCATATAAATACATGTAAATATACCAATGTTTACTCTTTGGTGGGATCATGGTGGATGATACAAAAGCTCACGACGTGTGAAAAGCTGCTGGTTGAACATGCACTCTTGAGAAAGCATCCATCTAGAAATGTCCATTATCACAATAAAAATATCAATTATCTCAATAGAACAAACTTAAGGCAGTAATGGTTAAACTACGTACCGACTGTACAATGTTCACAAAAAGTACACAAGATGGGGTTATCTACAAAATGGTCAACAGTAGTACCCCGAAAATACATATTTACTTTTACAAAAAACGCTGAGACAGCTGGGACATGTGGCTGGTACAGAGGTTGCCGTGGATCCAGGGCAGTGTGGGCTGATGATGGCTGGGATATCTTTGACCTGTCTGTCCTCGACCTGTCCTGTGGCCCATTCAACTTGTGTGTGTGTGTGTGCGTTTGGTTGATTGTAAAATAGAGATCAGTTTGGAAATAACAAATGGATGATGAGCAGATAAAAGGATGATTTTATGAATAGCAGTAAACTGGATAAAATCACAAGGCTTGACTGTCAACAAGTTTTTTTTGCAGCTAAATATGACGAGAGTTCACAGGACCGTCATTTATTAGTCCACTGATACAGAATATATAGAATACAAGCTTTTTTCCATTTAAAAATCTCTCAAAGGCACAAGGTATCCGTTAATTGGCCATAAAATAGGAAATAAAATATGACAACCACACATAGCTGTTGATCAACATCCATCTCCCAACAAAATTCATAATGCAGTATCATTCCAGATGCTACTCTGAGATAAAATAAATGTGTTATTCACACAGTTCTGTTCTTTAAAGTCCAGCTTCCCTGCATAGTCGCAGCTTTAAAGGCAAGGTGGGAGATATTTTAGAGTACAACAAAGAACACTTTCCACAGCGCTCAGTGGTTAAGGCGGGGCAGGAGCGAATCAAGACAATATAGTTGATGCAGAACAGGAGGGGCATCAACAGGCCACTGCATGAACAGGGAAGGCACAGGGAACGAGGGAAGGGCAGTAAAACACCAGGAGAAGGCAAAGAGAAAAAGAATGGCGGCAGTACAAGTACATAAATACATAATTGGCAAAGGGCTCATTCAAATTTTCACGATTAAAGAACCACCGGAGCACAACACGCTCAACACCAAACATCGGCTATTTGCAAAACCCGAAGCGCAATGCGGGGGGCGACTGGATGGGATGGCAAGATGCTAAACCAGGGGTCTTCAATCTTTTTCCGGCTAAGGACCCCCAGACTGATGGCGAGATGCAGCAGGGACCCCCTGTTCTACAGAGTTTGGTCCTCCATCTTTTATCTTTGCGCTCCGCCCTCTTTAGACGTGAGCATGAATGGATCTGATTGGCTGTGATGTCGTATCAGCTTGAGAGCTGCTGTGGGACTGAAAGACAACGTCTCCTCCATCAATTTATCCGTTTCTACAATATGTTGAATTCATGTTAATGTGTATTTAAAGACGATAAATACAATTCTGATTCTCAAGACATTTATTCGTGGAAAGAAAATTGGTTGACCCCCTGCAGTACCTCCGCGGACCCCCTGGGGGTCGCGGACCCCCTGTTGAAGACCGCTGTGCTAAACTCAAAGCAAAGGTGTGTCTGCGTGTCTGTGTGTGTGTGTGTGTGTGTGCGCGCGTGTGTGTGTGAGTGAGCGAGAGATAACTCTCCAGATGAGTGGCTACGGTTGTGTGCTGTCGGTCAGACTGTGCAGATTGAAAGTCGTCCTGGACATCTTGGCGGGCGGCTCCATCGGGTCCTTCTCGTCATCCATCGCACTCAGAGAGCTGGACTGCAGCACGAGGTCGCCGCCCTCGTCCTCGCTCTCATCCTCCTCTTCATCCTCTTCCTCTTCTGACGGAGAGAAAGGGCATTGGCGTGGCGTTAAGTGACGGCAAAACCTGAAACTAATCATGTTGGGATGCGGCGTCGCTGGCCAAAAAAGAAAATACCTTTCTCCAGGTCCCGAGAGATCCGGCTCTTGGCGGTGCTGGCAAACTGCAACGGAGAATCAACATGGTTGGATATTCATGAACATGTGTCATCGCGGGCTGATGCTACGCGACTGTGTGCGCAGACACGTACCTCTCCCATGACGGCGATGGGCGTCACTCCTTTAGCTTGGGCCACCCTGTGTTCTATCAGGTAGTACATGTACTCATCGTACAGCAAGCGGATCAGGTGAAAGGAGCCGAAGCTGGCGGCGCTGCGCAGAGTCAGGTCCCGGATTACCATAGAGCTGGTAAGAAAGAGCAGAAGACAATTATCTTCCACTTAAGAAAAACAAAACATTTTGTGTTGTTTTTTTCCTCTCACCTATAGAAGGACCAGTTGAGCAGGAAGACCTTGGCTGCCTTCGGCAGGGCGGCGGAGTTGTGCTCGTAGGGCTTGAGGGCCTCGGAGACGACGCCGTCCAGCCAGGTGGCCCACTGCTCCAGGGAGTTCTGCTGCTGCAGGGTGGTTTTAAAATCCTGCTCCAGCTGCTGTACCACGCGGTCCTCACACTGACACACCCAGGATGCCTGCTCCTGAACGGGGAGGGGCGCACGACCGGTAAGCGCCAGGCGTGCTCTTGTAGTTCAGACTAATCTACGTGGCGAGGAGGCAGTGCGCACCTGTACGTTGGTGAAGTCGACCCGGTTGAGGTCCGAGAGCATCTGGTTGATCTGGGCTGTGTTCTGCAGGACGGCCCGGGCTGCCTGGGCCAGGTGGTTAAGGCTGGTATAGCGGCGCAGCGTCTGCGAGAAGGAGCCCACACACACCACCTGAAGGGGCGGAACGGAGGGGTGTGAAATAAGGCTGCCAAAAGAAGCCGCAATAAGGACGAGTTTACACTCTCGGGGGTTTTCTAATCGTGAGACCGCTGCACTGAAAACGTGTCAGATGCACACAAAGGAGACACAGATCAATTCAATAAAACACGCTCTGTCGAGACATTTAACATAAATTGCAAAGCGTGATGTGTCACTGTCTGATCCAGATCCAGACGTCATCTGGATAGATCAGATCTAGAAAATGGATGCAGAGCTCGGTCTTTGTGCAAGTACCTTGATGCGGACCATCTCTTCCGGGATGTTCATCATGGCGCCTGTCAACCAATTCTCCAGGCTCTTGGCAAAGTTGCGAATGGCCTGAGTTAAGGCACCTGAGGGAGGGGTGGTGGTGAGGATGAAAAAAGAAAGAGAGGGTTTATATTTACACTCATACACATGGTGTTACTAGAAAGTTACTCCCACCACCCCTCCCCTCCCCTCCCAGAGAAAGTCTCTCGTGCTCTAAATCAGTCCATGAGTCTTGGCTGCCTCACTTGCCAGTTCCTTCCGGACCACACTTACTAGGGATGGGTCTCAGGACATCCGAGATGAGGATCTCCACCAGGGTCTGGTAGAGCAGGTTGTCGCACTCTTTCGTCCAGCGCAGCACCGGCTCATACTTACACAGCACCACCAGGCACGACTTGGGCAGACGCTTCTCGGACTCGTTGTGCCTGGAGGACGCGACATTCGCCCTAGTTACGGCAGCGGAGGAGGTACAAGTGCTAGTGTTCATTTCATGCGTATTAATGACACTTACAGGTTGATTGATTCCGTGTCACTGCTCTGGCTGAAGCGCCAGAAGGATTTCCACAGTGTCTCCACGAGAGTGAACTGAAGGTTGACCATCACGTCCAGGATGGCCTGCAGGGATCAAACGTAAGAGGCCTTAAAGCGTATGGCTTCACGGTCGGCTGGACACTTTGGCTGTAAAAACACTATAAAACAATGCCACGTGACAGCCGATATTCAGCTGGTATTCAGGCTGTGTGTGTGGAGAAAGAAGGGAGCTCAGCGAGCCTCTGCCTACCTCACAGTGCTCTCTGTACAGAGCCTGGAAGGAGTGCAGGTGTTCTAAAAGGACCCCGTCGGGCAAGGTGCCATGTTGCTGATCGATGTCCACAAAGTCTGGCAGCGGCCTGGACGGCTCTGCACGAGGGACAGCAGGTGTTCACGGCTCATGCAGCCAAGTGCCGAAAGTACCAACAACATCACTCAAAAGAATTGTCCTTTGAATGAAATGGGTGTGGGTGCTGCTCACCAAGAAACTGCTGATACTGTTGCACCTGCGCCGAGATATCACAGAGGGCCGCCGCCTGCTGACCCAGTCCACCTGACCCATTGGTGATCCCCTGTGCCTTATGAAGTGGCTTTATCCTGTTGGACACAATACATCAGATCCATCTCGTTTGATTAGACCCTCTACCACAAAGTGGTTGTTTATACGTGTTGACGCGGTGTGGAAACCTGTTTTTCTGTGAGAAAGGCTGCTGCCTCATCGCCATGTGCTGTTGTTCATCCATCAGTCTGAGCAGCGGGGAACCAGATTTGATCCTCAGGCCGTAGTAGTGGTACTTTGAGTTTCCTCTGAAACGCACGCACAGTGAGTTACGACGATGCTCTGAGATACTCGTCTAGCAAAATCTATGCGGCGCGTTTGTATACCTAGTCCCTAATCTCCGTGTACGAAGCCCCATGAAGACAGACCTGATGAGTTTACCAAAGGACGCAGCATTAACAGGTTCTAGTTTCTGCTCCTGGCAGTGCAGCAGGTAGTGGTAGTAGAGGGTGCAGCGGGGTAGACTCACGCCCTCCGCCCCCTCATAGTTATCACACAGCCACTGCACCTGGGGAAGACGGACAGTGCCAGGATTGAACTTTATGAACTTCTGTTGCTTTGACTGTTGACAGCACATTGTTCACTTGGAACTTCAGTACTCACGGTGGCAGGTGGAGCACGAGAGTTTGGGCTGGAGAAAGTCTGCCCTCCACCACACGCTGCTCCTCCTCCTAACATGTAACCTCCCTGAATGACATAGCCCCCTGCGCCTGCACCACCTCCTCCACAATTGGCTCCCCCTGTTGCCACAGAAACCGACTGCGAGGTCACAGAGCCAGTGATGTCTGCCTCAGTGCTGGGCGTGGTCTCGTAGTAGGAGGAGGAGGTGGGAGGGGTCTGGGAGTAGATGGGCGAGTCGGAGAAAGGGTAGTCGCTCGATCGACTGGACAGGAAAAGACATATTTTATTATATATTAGCTATTTTATTTGTTTGTTTCATACGGGACAGTGCAAATTAATTTCTTAAAAATCTGTAAATGTGCCAAGCTGCATTTGTAGTCCCTAACATACAAACACAAACAAATAAATAACGTGCAAAAGTGTGACTAGTAAAGTCTGTGTTTGATCGGCCGTGCGTGTGTGGAGGCTCCTCTCTGCTCACATTGAGGACGTCGTGAAAGTCACGTCTCCTCCTCCGTCCACGTACTGCACCTGGCCAGAGTACGCATGCTCCGCCTGCAAAAGAATCAAGCAGGAGACTCAGCGCGCACACACACACAATATTAACATATTGTTACCCTATAAAAGTTATGGCAAATGTGTTACCAAACAGCTGTCCGTTACACAACTAGCAGCACAGAACAACATAAGCATTCGATTGTCCTGCTTGTGCCATGGGGATGAATGAAAGCCCAATGTGCTGGTGAAAAGTCTTGTGAGAATAACTGGCTTGTTAGCTAGTTAGTCATGAGCTTGCTCTGTGTGTCATCATCATGGGACAGATAGTGTATCCTGGCTCTCTGCAGCGCTCTGGGTGAAAACAGCCGCCTGCTGCTGCGGACTAATCACAGCTCAGCGTGATGAGAGTGAAGCCAAAGTAACCATGCCGACTGCATTTAGTTAGTCTACTGAATGAAGAGTACTTCGCTCCCAAAACTGGGTGAAGAGGGTCTTTGCTCGGAGGAGCGATCGAGCGGGCACATTCTCTGAAACTGAGTTTGAACTTATTGTCATTACTGATATTTATGAATGGAACTTTTTTCCCCCACTGCCCCGGAAACCATCTTGAACAATCATTTCAACCGTACTGAAATCATTGTACGCCGTGAAAAAGTCTACTCTTTGTTGGTGTCGTCCACAAAGGTTAATTGCATAAAAAGACACACACACCCACACATAGATAAGTCACAGACAGCCTGGCGGGGCCGTAGTGATGGACATGCTAAGCAGGGGAGCGTTTGGTCAAAATGGCCACGGGGCTTTCTCGCCTACATTCCTCTCTATCTACCTGTAGCAGGGAGCAGACCTACTCAAATTACCTGTAACTTAATGTATTTTCCTACTTCATATTTTTTTTTGTATGTCTGATTACCTCCTGGCTAATGTGCACAGAATGCGGATTGTTGATGTGGCCAGAGTGAATCCTATTGGCTGCCTGCAACGCCCCTTGCAACACTGACCTCTGTAGGCGATTAAAGTCACTCACCTGCGGGCATACGTGGTCAAATGGGAAAGGATTGGTGTGCGTGAGTGTGTGTGAGTGTGTGTGTGTGTCTGTGTGAGTGTGTATGCAAGCATCATACCTGTTGGGTTGACTGCACTGGTTGGACCACCTGACTTGGAACACCAGGTGCAGAAGGGCTGGAGTCGGACACGCTGTCATTGGAGTGGACTGAGCCCTCTAGGGATGCCAGAGGGAGAGAGGTTTCATCACACGTTTGAAAAACAAGAGAAAAAGCCCGCCACCATCACCACAAGCGGAGTACTCACGACACACCGCTTCCAAATCGTAATAACAGTCACCGCAGAACATCTTACTACAAAGGTTTTTTGTTTTGTTCCACTGAGGAGAGATTGACAGTGGGGAGGGCAAAAGAGTGTGCAAGTCCAACTCCGCTGTCATCCTTATATGTTGCATGCAGAAGGACAGCCTTGGACAGCTAATCTCCCCAGATGGAGAGAGAAATCACTCCATCTAGTAAACACGCAGATCGGATGAGAGAGGGAATTGAGAGATACACGAGGGATGATGGAGAGTGAGGAGGGTGGTAGGAGGAGGGGATGATATTTCGCTTCCTAGTAGCCTTCAGGTGAGAACACAATTCACTTAAACTGTTTTGCATCCTCCTGCGCTCTATGTGCCGCTCCCACCTGCCTGGACTGCTGTAAACAGGCCCGGAGCTACGACCGAGCCAACACAACTCTGCATGGCCTGCCACTAAATTTCATTTTATTTATTTTAACAAGGAATTGAAAGTGACAGCTAACTGTTCCTTCCCACCTGGGAACTTGGCAAATGAATCCCTTTTTGTTTAACCAACTTTAACTTCCCCCAATAACCATGTCTAGAAGCAATGAACATGTAATACGTTGTACGTTATACTTATAGATGTTGCATAGTGTTTCCCTCGGGCTTCTGGTTGCATATCCAATCGGTAACTAATATCTTATATACCTAGAATGTAAAACCTAAACTCTTACATACATAGGATGGATACATAGAGGGGAAAAGCACTACAGCTGAAGCAAACCTCTTGCACGATTACTACGTGAGCAGCAGAACTGTACTGAGAAGAACCCGGCTCTTTTAGCTGCAGTGCATAGATACAACGGAGGGCTCGGTTTAAAAAGCAGCCCTACTTCATGAGTTTCGATAAGCCTCGGGCCTCGGAGTCTCAGTCTGGGTGAAAGGGCACAGTGTCACTTGATACTACCGGGGAGGAAGATCTACGAATAGACGGCCCTAAAATAAGCACTCAGATAGACACCGGTGTTGGGGTCACGCCTGTCTCATATATCTCTCCCTATAACACAACATTTCCATTAGGGTTACAGCTGCAGGGTTGCACACTTGTTGATCAAATACAACTGTAAAAATTGTACCACCGACTGGCTTTCTATAAAAATAAAAAAGCAGCAGAGTAGAGGTTCCTATGTTCGGGACTAGGTAGCCTAGCAACCCTGCCATTCCTGGCTCCTTTATTTCTAAAGATCAGATTATGGTTTTGCAGCTGCTGCACATTGAATTGCTTAAATTCTTACTTAAGCTAAATCGATTCAATTTTGGTGTTAGCTATTGATAGAGTAAAATAATGGTTTAGAATATAATACGTAATGAAAATAGTTGCCCATTTTAACATCCTAGAACTCAAGGTGAATTGATTCACTATCTCGGAACAACAGCCCACAACCAAAAGATAATCAATACACATTGATTGATTAAATGTTTACTTCCTTGTCAAAGTTGTCGACAATTCCTTTTCTAACGAATGCACTAGTTGTTTAAACACTGCTTGATACAACTGATTTAACTCTAAAGCGATTGAGGACCTGGCAACTGAAGACACAGATTTGTTGCCATTTTAAAGAGGATTAGACAAAGAATTATACATGATCGATAACTAGAATCAATGAGATTGTACCAGACAAACCCACAGTCTCCAACCAGGATGCAGCCTGTTGCTTTTCGCCCCCAGATACATTGACTTGCGGGACAAACTGATGCATACTCAGACTTCCTTCCATACGCTGCCCTCCTGCTGCTAGAAAACGTGTAAAATGGCTGCACAGTATGTAGTATGCAGGTGGGTGTCACGCCAATTAGCACATGGTCTCTCACCTGTAACAGTTACTATGATGTACTGGGGCGAGTTGCTCTGACCATTACTTTTCTGGACAGCGGAATGCTGGATTTCTGGGTTCACATAGTGCTGCGTGGGCGTAGCCAGAACCACTGCCTTCTGGCTCTGGCTGGGGAGCGGCGCCTGAGGACAAAGTGCATCCTGTGCAGTTTTTGAGGCGGTGGCCGATCGGTTGGCCGATGATGAGATGGTTCCAGAGGTTGGTGGGATCTCCGACAGGAAGTGTGCTGTCTTTGCCGACGAGGTTGTGGTGGCAGGAGGTGTTGCTATGGTTACCGTGTTGGCCTGCTGAGGCTGAAGGTCCTCAGAGTATCCAGAAGTTGCCATGGTAACCAATGCTTTGAGGCACTAGTTCTGCGGATGAAAGCAGACCGCCCTCATTAAAGGAAGTGCTACAGGATATACACAGCAACACACTTTTATCGCATGATATTTGACTCCTCTTTGGACCAGACCATGAGTGTGTAAGCTTACACGTGTGTGCACACGTGGAACATGAACCAGAAGAGGAAGCGCGTTTTTCCTGTTTGCTTCAGCATGAAACACAGCGCGAACCAAAGCAGCAGGAATTAAGCAATGGCATACATTTCAAAACGAGGTTCATGGACAATGACCATAGTGTCTCAAGTGAAATAATCCAACTAAATGACACATACAACATATGTAAGCGTGGGAAGTACCAGATAGGGCCATCGGGAAATGAACTTTGGACCCGCTGTCAATCAAAATGTAAGTCCATCCCACTGGGCGATAAGGCGTGTGATCATCCGGCACACCGTGTTCGGTGACGTGCCGAATATAATGGAAGATCCGAAAACTTCTTCAAACTCAGCAAAACGGTTACGAAGCGCGCCGCACGCTCTAAACTCGCCAACGAATTATTTCTGCGAGCAGTTTGTCGCGCATCTATCGGAGGGTTTCTGAATAGCTTTAAAAGTGAGTTGAGGGCGAGAGTCGTAGCTTCCCCGGCTAGCAGCTGCGTTGAGTTGTGACATTAGCGAGTCCTACAGCTGGTTGCGAGTTACTCGTGTAGAACAGGCAATACACACATAACCGTTCCCCGGGAACGCGTCTAATCATAATGCCAATATAATTGAAACTGTGACAACACCACAAACTGAACATTCGAACAAATGAGCGAAAAAGTACGAGCGGCACTGGAACGCACCCGCCATCTTGTGCGCTTATCAAAGGTCTGACATCGCCATAACAACAGCCTACGCTTGGAAAGAAGCTGGCGACCACTTTTCATCACCGGCACCCTCGAACCAATAACACGTTAACGACGACGGTTGCACAAACAAGCACGCGAGACCACATACGTAATAAGAAGAAGAAGAAAAAATAAATTACAATTCTGAGATAACGTTATATAACTTTGTCACCTCTAGTTTATCCCAATATTATCCTTTTAAGTCGTTGAAGTTTTTTCGCCTTGGAATAAGGTTGTTGTTGTTGACTCCCGTTGCTTGGCTCTTGTCGCCAGGACTACGGTGACTATGGCGCCTCGCCTTCACCGGGGCAACTGTTGCTACCCTCTCGTCATTGCCCCGCCCTGCACTATATGCCGATTGGCTCGCTTGCATGGTGGTCAAAGCGTCAGTGAAATATTGCATGGTTGATTGGTAGACGGCCCCCTTCCGTCACTTTGACGGAGCCGAACGTCAAATGAGCGCTTCTAGTCCTGCTTGATCGTTAATTTGTGGATTGCTTGATGTTGCTACCGCCCCTCATCATCTATATCAGTTACATTAAGGCACATTGTGTGGACTTTATTTTCCCTGTACATTACATTACATGTCATTTAGCTGACGCGTTTATCCAAAGCGACCGACAATATGTGCATTTCAACCATAGGGATAGAAACTCAGAAGAGCCAGAAACAAGAAAGTGCAATTTCCTCAAATAAGCCAATTTAAAATTTGCTATAGATAAGTGGCGTTACAAGTACAATTTAAGTGCTACATTGGTTATTCTCTGTATTACTAACCTTACCATAGAATACCATACCATACCATAGAATATCTCCCCGCACATTCCCACATTCCCTTTTGGCTCTTTCCTTTTATACAATATTAAAATAGTTTAGTTTTGCTTTTCTCAATTCAATCATTTTTTTATGTGCACCAATACGGCGGCACCTAAGCAAATTCCCTGTATGTGAAAACCTAGTTGCCAATAAACCGGATTCTGCCCCCCTCCTCTTCCTCCTATAGGCTTGTATTAATAATTCATATTTTACAACATACACGTCGCTATTGAGTCACTGTGGTATCACAGATTGACCTCTGAAATCCCTACGCGTGGTGTGTGGGTGTGTGTATGCCCTATTCAGTGAACATCATTGTACAGCATCTTAGTTATCTTTGAGACAAATTGATGGGGATCTCCATCCATTGCACAGCAGAGCTGATAGCAAGACGAAGATTGTGAGGTGACACACTGGGTAACCCACCTGGTGTAAGGGACAGAAAGGCCAGCAGAAGGTCACAGTTGATTAAATAGCCAAGAGCTTTGTTGACATCACCTCCAGTATCATTTGCTGCTTTATCACAACTTCTCTTTTTCTCCATGTGCATTGTTGCTCCTAAAGGTCTTGGCTCTTATCTCTAGGCCTGAGGAAAGGTGGAGGTGAGTTGAAGGTGTTTCTGGGATGATGCAGTCTATAAAACAAGATGTCCAGAGAGAAACGCAAACGACACAGGCACCCCAAGCAGCGTTTCAGGCACCAACAGCATCTTTTCACTCTCAGCATGTGGAAGGCAGCACTCTTGACGATGGGCTTGTTAGTGGCTCTGGTAGAAAAGGTGCGCTCCAACGACGCCCAGCCCCCTTTCTATGGGGTGAAACTGTGTGGAAGAGAGTTCATACGAGCTGTCATCTTTACCTGCGGTGGTTCTCGTTGGAGGAGAAGCTTAAGAGACACAGGTAGGAGTGTATGAGACGCTATAGAAACATTTTTTCTTTCCACAATGTGCCGTATTGTGTCTAACAGTATTATTAAGAGATTTGCCTATATGCTTTTGATCAGATTCTATTGGGGAAGAGGCCTTTGACCCATGGAACACCAATTCCATCCCTCAACTTATCGGCAAACAGGCTCCTGCAGAGTCCCAAGTATGGAGAGAGCAAACATTAAACGAGGCATCTGTGGCTGCTGCATTCAGCCGCTCAGCTCGCTCACCGATTTCTGAGGAGGTGCTGGAAGCTCTACGGAGTGCAGATAGGAAAGGACGGGATGTGGTGGTTGGACTGTCCAACGCCTGCTGCAAGTGGGGCTGTAGCAAGGGTGAAATCAGCTCTCTGTGCTGAGCCGGGCTTCTTGTATAAGTCATGTGTTGTCACCACTGCAGTGCTGTCACTGCATAGGACACTAGTGGTCCTATTATGTAATGTTCATTCATTTCTTCAAACTTTTCTTTTTTTTTTTTAAATTCCACATCCCATCTAACCCATTTTCTATGTGTTGACTATTGATGCAGGAATGTGCATGTGTACTCATACTGTTGTTATCCCATACTGACATGTTTAATAAAGCATCACGTAGTTCTGAGAGTATCTGTTCCTCTTACAAAACACATAATAAAATGATATGTCATGCTTCTGGAAATACTTTTTTTTGTCAAGGGTTACGAAATGAAAGGAAGTGGTTGGCACTGTGTGAATACAGAATCGTAGCTGCTCGCAGTGACTTCACAGGGGTTAGATGCCACATATCACATGTACTTAGTGAGCTTTGTATCCCTCCAAAAAGACGACGCTTTTGGACCTGAACATATGAATGTGTTCATCTGCCTTTCAGAGATAAATGATCACAGTCATGTTGAGACATGTTATCATATAAACTGAAATTTGCCAGCTTCACAATGGTGGTGTTGTTAGCCTGTAGTTGCAGTCACGATATGGTGTCCTTTAGCAGTTCATACGAATCAATTACGCAGGAAATAAATGCTGTGGAATTTAGGAGCAGACCCCATCTGGTGGTCAGAAGTGAAACACGGCAAAATGGTTCACATAACATGTATGTTCACAGAATTGAAATAGGCGATGCATCACAGTTCACCGTCGACATTTTAAGTAAACAGTCAACACTGATAGAAACTGTGATTGTGGAGCAAACCGTAAACTCGGTAGCTACCGTAACCCCGCTGGACAGTTGCTCCGCCAGCGTTACGGAAGCCGAACATGACCAAACCGATCACCCGGCTTGATTGCAAGGCATGCAATCTCTGTCACCTACCAGCTAGCATAGAAACCACACAGATAGAGATCAGACGTTTGAATTCAGCTACGCGTACTGCCGGCAAATTGTATTTAATGTTAATCGTTACAGCATAACTGCACTATTATCTATAGAAACATAGATCTACCACACCGGAGTGACCAGGTAAATTCTTTCGCGGTACTTTCAAGATGATGCTAGGTAGCCATGCTACTGGTAGCTGCCTGGGGGTGGGCTCTGTTATGACTATTAATACGATCTATTTTGGGACACCTTTGTTGCTTGTACAAACATATCTTTCATAGCGCAGCACGGCGGCGTTTAATGCGTTTCAGCTGCCTTATGTGTGAACCTGGCGCGTGAGAACTACCCTAGCGACGCTAAGCTAGCTCGCTAGCTAAAAGAGCCAGACGTTCGCGTCTGGGCCTCGTCTGGAATACCGCTATTTCTATCGCGATCGATAGTTTGTGTGGATACTTATTAATGCAACGGTTACTTAGTAACTTACTTGGTGAACGGTTGCGTAGTCGTACTTTTCAGGTTACGGGATGTCGCTAGAATCGGGAAAATGCCAATCTAATTACACAAACGCTGTAACGGCATTGCAACATTGTAGACAATAGCTTACATTACGTAAAATGTAACGTTGGTTTACAGGAGTTAACCGTAATATCTGTTGCCATTAGCAACGACGTCCGGCCAAACGCTGATAGTTGTGCGACGGCACTGCGTATTTAACGTTACTTCGGCGTTACCTCAGTAGTAACGTGCTGAGGTTACAGGTGGGGCCGGCTGGTGGTTAGGACCACTATGTGTAACGTTAGTTAGTACATGCACCCTTAACCGGCAATGCGTTCTGCAGGATGGAGTGGCAGCCGGATGAACAAGGTCTTCAGCAAGTGCTCCAGCTACTCAAGGACTCTCAGTCCCCAGACACGGCAACACAGAGGGCTGTGCAAGAAGTATCCTTAAATCTGTGCGTGTGTTGCATGGACTGCGTGTACCGGTGTCATATGATTCGCGTTGTATATGTGTGTGGATGGTTGAACTCCTTAACATGGCCTGCAGAAACTGGAGCAGCTTAATCAGTTTCCAGATTTCAACAATTATCTCATCTTTGTCCTCACAAGCCTAAAATCTGAGGGTATGTATCTGCATGTCAAATGTGAACATTCGGACAGGGGAACAGCATTGCCATTTACTAATTCATCTGGCTTGTCCCCTGCTAATATTTCTGTGTTGTCGGCTGCGCTTTCCCATTTTAAACATTCCTTTGTCCTCATCCTCTCAAGATGAGCCCACTCGCTCTCTCAGTGGTCTGATACTGAAGAACAATGTTAAGGCCCACTACCAGAACTTCCCGCCCAACGTGGCTGACTTCATCAAACGAGAATGCCTCAACAACATCGGAGACCCGTCGCCACTTATCAGGGCTACGATCGGTGGGTGTTTTTACCAAAAAGAGAAATATAGTGTATGTTGCGTTGTTTTCTAGCCAGTGTGAGTCAGGTGGTTATGTAGGTGGTTTGATTTTTCTAGGTAATGTAGATGTGTGGGAGGCAGCGCTGCATTTCCAATCTGTATTTAATGATTGCATGCTATGATGCTGGGTTGAGTTATTGTTTAGCTATTTTTAAACTCTTACTGGTAACCCCCACACCATACATATATTCTTTTTCGAAGGGTTTGTTGGGGGAGCAAAGGATATTCAGGGATGAATAGGGTCAACGGGGTCAAGGTCAACCGTCTATGCCTACATAGAATTGCCATACATCCTCTGTAAGCTGGCAACCTGAAGATTTATTTACAATGCAACAAGGCATTGTGTGTCAAGTTATTCCAGTCATAGTTCAGAAAAAAGTATTTCTGTATGTATGGAATTATTTGGCAACTGGATAGCAGGTGCTTATGCTCACCAAAATTGAGCCTGGAGCTGTGTCTTCCTGACAAGTGGCCATGACATGGTTGGCAGGGTTTCGCTGCCTTTTTTAAAGACGGAATGTCGGTCGATTGCGAACCGTTTACAGCCTGATTTGTCCTTGTATAACCTTTCTGTTATCTATCATAAAGGCATCCTGATCACAACCATAGCCTCTAAAGGAGAGCTGCAGACCTGGCCAGAATTGTTGCCTCAGCTCTGCAATCTGCTCAACTCCGACGACTATAACACCTGCGAGGTGAAGCTCTCCTGCCCGCACACTCCAGTACCTCTGCATTGTTAATGTGATAATCATCCGGTACTTGTTACCTTGTTACTTAATGGATTTCCTTCACCTTTCAGGGTTCTTTTGGAGCGTTGCAGAAGATCTGCGAGGATTCATCAGAGTTGTTGGATAGCGATGCTCTGAACAGACCCCTCAACATCATGATTCCCAAATTCCTACAGTTTTTCAAGCACTGCAGCCCCAAGATTAGGTCAGTGAAACATTAGTCTTTAGAGTTCCCGCAATCACTGTCCCTGTTACAATCATCATTTTAGATCCTCCTGCTTTGTCTCTCTTTCTCAGGTCCCACGCCATAGCATGTGTGAATCAGTTCATCATTGGTCGAGCTCAGGCTCTGATGGACAACATCGACACCTTCATTGAGGTGAGCGTGATAGGATTATTTGGCGGTTGTTTGAACTTTCTTCTCTACTTCTCGATCCTTTCAGAGAATGTGTAACAATGCATTTATCTATTAAAAGGAAAAAGTGTTTTACTTCGAATACAGGTCTTTGCTGTGCATACGTTCTGTTGTCCCATTTAAATGTATGTGGCTTTTGCTGTGACTTTTATGGATACAGATGCATTTATGAGATATTTGACATCTGCGACTTGTCCTTTTACAAACACCATCAAGATGTAAATGCTGCAAAGTGTAACAAATGTAAGTGCACGTTTAAAAGTCGCCTCCATTTGTCTCCTTGTCTCTTTTCGTATCCAGAGTCTGTTTGCATTGGCCGGTGATGAGGACAGCGAAGTGCGGAAGAACGTTTGCAGGGCTCTGGTCATGCTGCTGGAAGTTCGCATTGATCGCCTCATCCCACACATGCACAGCATCATCCAGGTGAGGGTGGGACTTGATCTCACATGCAAACCTCTAACGGAGAATCTGTGGCTTTCCCTTCCTCGTCATCACCTCTTGTTGTCTGTCCCCAGTACATGCTGCAGCGGACCCAGGACCCAGATGAGAACGTGGCTCTGGAGGCCTGTGAGTTCTGGCTGACGCTCGCTGAACAGCCCATCTGCAAAGAGGCCCTGTCCGGCCACTTGGTTCAGTGAGTACATGCCGACCGGTCGTTGGACAGGGTAGACGGCCCTGTGTCATGTGAATGGCATCTGATAAGTAATGTGGTCTCTTTTTACAGACTGATCCCCATCCTAGTGAATGGGATGAAATACTCTGAGATTGATATTATTCTTCTAAAGGTGAGCCACCATTGGATACATCAGCTGTTGCCAGCTCCTCATACTATCTTTTTATTTCTCCCTTCGTGCCCATTCTGTATTCACCTTTCTCGCTGCCGTCCTCCAGGGCGACGTCGAAGAGGACGAGGCGGTTCCCGACAGCGAGCAAGACATCAAGCCTCGCTTCCACAAGTCCCGCACCGTCACTCTGCAGCACGAAGGAGGGGAGGACGAGGAGGGAGAGGACATTGATGAAGACGAGGACGATGACGACGACACGCTGTCCGACTGGAACTTGCGTAAGATACGGACCACATGGCAAACTTTTAAATCCGTTTTTATTGAGTTTTTTCTTTACATAACGAAAGTCCAGCTAGTTATACTGTATAGAGAAAATATTCTATAATTAGTGGCTATTATATAATATTATCAGTGTTTCTCTCACAGTCAACCACTTACCAGATGACGTCGGTTAAGTCCTTGAGGGTTTAGGGGGGAGATCGGGAGGCCGTCCTCGGCTTGTTGGAAAAATGATGCCAGGAGTCAAATCAAGAAGTAGTTTGGCTACTTTACAAAGCCGTGTATAATCAATGCTATTATGGCATGTACTTTTTGTTTATATATTCCTGTAGGCTATACTAATATCAATGCCCTTCGTTCAGTGTTCAAAAGCTGAGCAGGAACAAGCTGGTAAAAAAGGGAACCATACAGATCTTCTATTTATTACTATTATAGATAAATATACCAGTATCATCTCCTATTTGTAGTATTGAATTCTGGTATTGTATCGTGAGTATCTGTTTTCATGATATTTATGGCAGGTATCGTATCAAAGTCATCCTTTTGGTATCGTGGCAACCCTACCTATGGGTCTATGTATTATCTTCGAAGGGACATTCCCCTTATTTTCTTGTGCTGGGTTTTGTCACTGATTCCAAACAGCGTTGTTTTTAGTTTCAAAGTTACCAAAATGCTGTCGGTGGTTTACCGCTTCCAGGG